GTGTAGCTAAAGCGTAACTAACAACTGTCATGACTATTTGAAAAAGAAATTAATTATAAAAAAAGTGATTTTTTTTGGCCTCATTGTTTAGAAAAATAAAAGATCTGAAAGGATTTTGACCGCTAGAATGATCAGTTGGAATAACAAGAAAAGATTTAATTAATTATACTGCTATTACAATATCAATGTGAATAACACTGGGGAATAATTTTTGTTGTTGCATTTATACGTGTACTTGATCTTACCTAATAAAGATGTGAGGATTTCAAATCTGAAATTAATTTTGTTCCAAAAATTACTGATTTTAATTTAAAGTGATATTTTTAATTCAGTTTGTTTTTTGTTTAGTTTATTTTAGTTTAGTTTATTTTAGTTTATATTATTTCTAGTTTAGTTTATTTTTAGTTAAGTTTATTTTTAGTTTATTTTATTTTTTGTCTGAATGTTTAAGTCTAAAAAGAAGGTATAGGTTTATGTACCTATACACTAGTTCACTCCTTTGAAAATAGCACTTAAGACAAAAATGTACAATCTTAGCATATCACATCATAAACTAAAACGCATTATTGCCTGCTTCCCACTTCTTCTTCTACCCCACTTCTTATGCCCCAGGCAGAGAAGTAGGGCATTTAGTACTCTGTCAAGAAAATTTTAAAATATCCTGGTAAGACATTATTGAAATGCATAAAAACTGCAGATTTTCGAGAAAAATCGATTACAGATTAAGAATCAGTGACTTGAAAATATCTCAGATTTATTTAAATAAAGAAAAAATTACGCAAAAGAATAAGAATATTATTCCCAGGTTTAATTTAAGTGCTTTATTAGTCGTTTATAATATAGACTTGACTTTATATATATTGTAGCAGAGTACCTGCCAGCGAAGAAGCAAACAGAAAAATAACAGCAGGAGTACCTCAAGGAAGCATCCTCGGGCCCATACTATTCATATTATTTACCTACGACTTTCCCATCGACAGACAAGACTTTAACAGCATTACAGCACTTTTCGCAGATGATACAGGAATTGTCGTGAAGTCCAAAAATCCCAACATTGCCTTACAAAAACTCCAAGAAAAGATCACAGAAATAGAAACCTGGTGCCTAGACTGGAAGTTTAAAGTAAACGGCCAAAAATCGAAACTACTAATCATTCAACATAAAAGAAAAACGATCCTCCCTAAAAATCAAGTTGTACTCTTTAACGAAACGATACCCATAGTCAAAACAGCAAAATATCTTGGTCTGGTCATAAACAGCAAATTTAATTGGAAAGATCACGTCAAAACAGTCATCAACAAAGCACAAACAGCCTGCCACAGATTACAAATCCTTCTTCAGAACCCTAAAATGGAACTCAGACTTAAACGTTTACTTTACATCTCGATGATCCGTCCCATCCTGACTTATGCATCTCCAGCTTGGTGCAACATCTCTACATCACTCCTTAAAAAACTCAAAATATGCCAGAACAAAATCCTCAGGAAAATAACAAAAGCAAGATGGTTTATCCGCAATAAAAACATACATAGCGACCTCAACATAGATTTTTTAGATCATCACATTGCAAAGCAAAACTTCAGATTTTTTGAAAAGACCATATATTGTGACACCGCAGGATTCAA